CTGAAGCTGTCTGAGGAAGAATTGGGGAAGCTCTCCGAGGAACGCATGGTTCTTTTTCCCGAGAGAGAGGGTCTTGAGGGAAAGGTAGCGGCCCTAACTGCTGAGATCGCAATCGCTGAAGATGATCCGGAGGATACTAAGGATCTGAAGACTCGGGCGAAACTGGTTGCTCGTTTCCAATTGGCTGTGGATGATGCTCAGGACGCTTATGAGGGGAGCTTTGAGAATTCAGTGAATCAGATGCGTGTGTTGAACCGTGGTGTCGAGCTCAACACCTCGATAATGGGGGTCAACTACTATGTGGTTGGCGGCCAGATTCTGGTCCCTGATCATCTCAAAGATATTGTCGCTCAACCGACTGGAGATCCTGCCCAACTGTCGCCCATTGTCGAAGGGAAAGCGGAAGGATGATCATATGTTTATTTTGGCCTGCGTGCCGTATTTGTTGGATTTGTTTCTCTGGGCTATTGCCCATTTATATAATATTTGTACAATATCGGCCCAAGTGGTCGTTTTATTTAAATTTAAGCCATTGGTCGTTTGCTTTGAATATTTAACTTATGTTTTTTACATGTTTGTTGACAAACTAGCACATTTAGGACGTTTTTTTTTTGCTAAGAGTTTATAGCGGGAATTTGCTCGTTTTGTATGTTCGTCAGTATGGGGAAACTGATCAAACAGCCAGGGTGAATACCGAGCGAGGTCCGGAACTCGGGTCTCATTTTGAGGGACCCGGGTTCAAAGGCGTGAACTTTCTGTTGTGAGTCGGGTGTTCTACTGTCGTGGCACAAGGACTATGGAGCTCGGTCGAGTTATCCACATCGGGCTGAGGGTGCGCTTGTCAACACAACGGAGCCTCGCCCCTTCTAAATACTTTGGGTGCTACGCTCGTTCCTAGGCATGCATGTATGGTCGGGTCTGGGTGAGTTTGTCTTGTCGACCAAACTCGTCGACTGTTCAGTGTTTTTAACTGTAATATTGTTTTAGCTTTTCAGCGTTCCATGATCAAACAAGATATTCCCCTTGTAAGTTTTCCAAGTAATACGCTCAAGTTCCCGTTTTCGCGTAGACGCGATAAGGACCTTCCCATTTTGCTGCGAGCCTGCCCTCACGAGATTCTTTGCAATTTCTCTTTAAGACAAGGTTGCCGACCTCAAACTCTCGTCGTATGACCTTGGCGTCGTAGCGCATGGCTATTTTTTGTTTGAGCGAGGCCTCTTGTAGGGCCGCCCCTGTTCTGATTTCTTCCACCAGATCCAGTTCTTCGCGGAGGGCGGTTTCATTCATATCCTCGTCAGGAGGTGCCTCAGTTCGCCTAGATGGCTCCTCGATTTCTACGGGAATGGCGGTCTCCGTCCTGTAAGCTAGCCCAAATGTTGACTACTGATGTCTTCGTGGATTTCGAGCAAGACGCGCTCTGCTCCGCTTCAATCGATACATTTGAGAAGTGGAATGGAAAATCATCTTTTGTAAAGTTTTCCTTCGACCAAGATGTACGAGCAAGCTCTCCGCCTGACAACGGCCGCTTCTTTTGGGTCGTTAGGGAGTTTGCCCTTAGTGAGGTAGTTGTGTACGGGGGTCATCTAACAATCGTTGTCCCTGATGGAGAATACTTCTAGGGTAGAAGATGGCCTTTGGGTGCTTGGTCGAGGGAGAATCTCATGTATCACAGATTTATTTCCTCCCTTTCTCTTTGTGCTCGCCAATTTGGACAAGATATCTGTGCGGGAATTATGCTCACGGGGAACGTGTTGTACATCCACAGATTTAAACTTCTTTTTTGTCTCCTGGACTAGGGCCCAATATTCGGTGAGTTGTTCATTTTTGACCTGATATTCACCTCGGACTTGAGAGGCAACCAACTGAGAGTCAGTGAAGATTTTCACTTCCTCGGCTCCCAGATCTTCTGCCAGTCGTAAACCTGTGAGAAACGCCTCGTATTTGGCCTGATTATTGGGGGTTGGAAAAGATAGGGAGAGGGAGACTTCGATTAGGGTCCCTTCCTTGTTTTCCAGTATGATGCCTGCACCGCTTCTGGTCTAACTGGAGGCGCCATCAACGAAGATCGTCCAACGATGTGATCCGTCGGGGTCTGCGGGCGAGGTCATTTCAGCTACGAAGTCGGCCAAGGCCTGAGCCTTAAGGGTTTTCCTGCTCTCGTATTAGATATCAAATTCAGAGAGCTCCAAGGACCATTTCAACATTCTGTTGGCCATGTCTGGTCTTCCGAGCAGTTGTTTTATTGGTTGATCTATCTGAACCACTATGGTGTGGGCCAGGAAGTAGTGTTTGAGTCTCCTCGCTACATTGACGAGGGCTAGACCTACTTTTTTGATTTGTTGATATCTTGCTTCTTGGCCCTGCATGGCCTTGCTCGTGAAGTAAATTGGCTTTTGTCCTTATGGGGTTTCCCTTATCAGCGTCACGCTTATTGTCTCGGAGGCGACAACTAGATAGAGGTAGAGGACCTCGTCTTTCCCGGGACGAGATAGGATGGGCGGCTGCGACATTTCTTATTTCAAATGAACGAGGGCTCGATCGCATTCGGGTATCCACTTGAAGGCGGCTTCCTTGCGCAGGAGCTTGAACAAGGGAAGCACGTGCTGGGTGGACTTTGCCACGAATGTGAGAGATAAGTGAGCATGTCGTTCAAGATTTGGATGGACTTTTTTGATGTGGGAGTCAGAAATTCGAAAAATTTCCGACATTTGTCGGGGTTTGCCTCAATGCCTCATTCTATTAGGTAGAATCCGAGGAACTTTCATACCCGTACGTCGAAGGTACATTTTTTCCAGGTTGAATCACATCCGGCATTTTCAAGCCTGATCAAACACTTTCTTTAAATGGGTGGCATGGTCGAGCTCCTTGGTGTATTTGACGATCATGTCGTCCATATAGACCTCGAGCATGTCGCCTATGTCGTTATGAAAAACTTTGTTGATCATGTGTTGGTAAGTAGCGCCCGTGTTTTTTAGGCCGAAGGGCATTACATTGTAGTAATAGTTATCCAATTCGGTCATAAAAGTTGTATATTTTTTGTCAATTTTATCCATGGGGATCTGGTTATAACCAGAGTACGCATCTATGAATGATAGCAATTTAAAAATGGCCGAGTTGTCGACCAGTTTGTCAATATTGGGGAGGGGATAAGCATCTTTCAGGCAAGCCCGATTAAGATCATTATAGTCAATACACATGCGCCATTTTCCATTAGATTTTTTAACAAGAACTACATTTGAGAGCCAGGTTGTGTAATGGGATTCAGAAATAAAATGTGCCTCTAGGAGGTCTTTTACATCTAGTTCTGCAGCCTTTGCTTTCTCGGTTGACTGCTTTCTTCTGCACTATGCGAATGCCTTGATGGCAGGATCAATGGTCAAATGGGTCTTGATGGTCATAATGAGTTCGGCGAAGGGACCATGATAAACGGTAGAAAGGACCGCGATGAGTTCGGCGAGAGTGGGTCTCCCAAAGATGCACTGATAGAGAGACAATAAATCTACCACCAAGAATTGGGTCTCGATGGCCCTGGCCATTACTCCTCTCCCGAATGTGACGATCAACTCTACATATACTCAGGGTTTTATGCTGGCTCCATTGAAGCCCTGGAGATCAGATCCCACGTAGGGGGTTAGGTGGCTCTCGTTCACCTGCAAGGTGGTGAACAATTGGGCATACATGATGTCCACCGAACTTCCTTGGTCGGCCAGAATGCGACGCACATCTAAATTATCTATCTGAGCCCTCATGAGTAATGGGATGCTCGAATTTAGGGGCCCGCCCGAAAATTCTTCCATGTAGAAGGCGAGGGGATGAAAGCCTCCTCAGAATTTATCGAGCGTGGCGTCCATATCTGAGTTGGCTTCAATGAGTTGGTCGAATCTCCTCTTCACTGATCCAACTGTGTGTCTGTTGAACCCTCTGCCAGAGATGACCATGGTTGCGGGGAAGGATTCCCAAGGACTGTGAGAGGAGAAGTACAGGGGGCGTTCTCCATGTCCGGATAATAGAATTCTTTCGACCGTTAGATGCTCATGGCGACCGGAATAGGGTCGAGGTCAGGGGATATCTTCCCTTCCTTGACGTTCTTTGTTTCTGGTGCTTCGTCACAGACACCCTCCTTCTTTTTATACTACTTGAGGTGCCAGTATCTGATCAGTATTTCAATTGCATCTTTGAGATGAATGCAATCCTCCATGTTATGCCTGTGACTCTTGTGGAACCTATAATACTTACTCTTGTCGGTTCATAGCTTGGAAGGTGTTTGTCAGGGGAAGCGCACCCCGGCTTGTTTGAATTTAGAATTGACGCATTCAGAAAGAATAGGCTCCCTTGAGGTTGTCATAGAGGTGTAGTCGTGGAAACGATCGACTGGCCCCTTGTAGTCTTTGGAATCACGGGACTTGTCCTCCCGTTTCTTCTCTCCCCGATGGGATCTCGAGGGCTCATCATTCTTTAAGGACTGGGCACTCTCTTTGTGCCTAGATTCCCTGACGATGTTGGTCGCTTACTTCTCCTCGTATTGTATGTATGCCTGGGCCTTGAGGAGGAGAGAGTCGAGCGTGGCCGGTGTTTCTATGCCCACAGCTTTGGAAAAGATGCTTCGGGGACGGAGCCCGCGCTTAAGGAGGTACTTCTTCATGTTGTCCATTGTTGGGACTTGGACCGATTCCTTGTTGAAGTGTTCAATATATGGCCGCAGAGACTCGTTCCTACCCTGTATAATTGCTTCGAGCGAAGCCTCCGATTTCGGGTGTCGACGAGAGGCGGTAAAATGCCTCGAAAATATCCTCCTGAGTTGTTTCCACGAGGTGATGGATTCGTTGGGGAGGCTCTTGTACCATGCCATCTCCCCCTCCTGAGAGATAGATAAGTGGTGTGTCTCTCACAAAGGTTCCTAGTCCTACACTATGTATCAATGCTCTTAGTATCTCCCCCAATAAATGGTATGATGAGCCTTTGGTTCGAGAAATAGTAACATGAAGGAATAAATTCTAAGCATGATCTATGGAGGGGATACTGCTTACTCAATATGGAAAATAGTCCATGACAATCTGTTGCCTAACACAGAAGACAGTGAGGCTCAGTTGAAAAATAACTTATACGGCCTATCAAAGGGAAATTTGTTCTTGGATGTATACATACGAAAATTCAAGGAAAAATGTGACAACTCTCATATCCTTCTTTTAATCAATTTATTATGTCTTTGTATAATTTTGAACAGGTTTATCTTGAGGGAGAAAAGCCATCTCTTGATAACAGAAATGGATCTTCTGCTGCGTTTTTTCTGCTTCCATCTCTCCAGCTCAATTCATGATTGTTAGATTTAAGCTAATGGTTATATTTCTTCTGTTTTATAATGCAGATTTTTTTATCCCTTATTTCTCCACCATTATATAAATCCAATAGCTTAGACTATGGCAGAATGATCAACATGAGACAACAAATGGGAGAGGATCTAAATCCCTTGATCACAATCATTCTTTTATTAGCTTCCGAGGAAGAAGGAGGAATATACGTGGTGGTAGATGAAATTTTAGAGGACGTCACACAAAAAGCTTCGTGAACAACCATCCTCGCAGTAGCCACAACTATAACCCCCTTAACTCCAAAGTTCCAACAGGTCTCAACAACAACTGGAAAGGACCATAAAGACAACAAATTAAGGAAACATGTCAAATATATGGAAAAATAAATCATATTGCGACAAAGTTTTACTACAGATATAAATATAACACTAGTGTAGATGAAAACACTCAAGAAGCACTAGCATCACTCTTCTTAAATGATGATAATGATCCAAATTTTTATGTTTACTCTGGAGCTACCACTCATATGACAAGTCAAGGAGGTAAGTGTTGAAACAAAGGATTCAAGAAAGATGATTTTGTGAAAACAAGAAGAAGAAGAAGAAGAAGAAGAAGAAGAAGAGAGAAGAGAGAGAAAATTATTATGAGTTAGTTAAGTGTAACTAACTCTCTAACTGAATGTATATTATTATTCTGCATGATTACAATCATAATGGCCCTTTATATAGGCAAAGTGCCCAGGCCCAAATACATGCTAAAAGCCCAAATAACTACATAACAAGAATTAACCAACTAACACACCCCCTAATTCATGTTATCAATACTTCTCATCCCAATGCCTTTCTTTAACTCTTCGAACCTCACTTTCTTCAGAGGTTTGGTGAATATGTCAGCTAGTTGTACTTCTGTATTACAATGTTTTATTTCAAGCTTCCCTTTGTTGACTTGATCCCTCAGAAAATGATACCTTTTTTCGATGTGCTTACTTCGACCATGACACACTGGGTGATTCGCAAGGTTTATAACTAACTTGTTATCAACAAACAGCTTTATCTTCGATTCCATTATTCTGAGTTCTTTAAGTAGCATTTTGATCCATGTTGCTTGGCATGCAGCATATGATGCAGCCATATATTCTGCTTCGCATGATGACAAAGCCTTAATGCTTTGCTTCCTTGAACTCCGGGATATTGAAGCTCATTCGATCATGAAAATGTATCCTGCATTACTCTTCTTTTCGTCTTGATCTCCACTGAAGTCTGAGTCAGTGTATCCATAAACTTTGACATATGAGTTGTTCTTCGATTTCTTTGGTAATAACACACCATGATCAATAGTTACCTTTATGTATCTCAACACCCTTTTCACTGTGATGAGATGACATTCTTAAGTCTTCTCCATAAATCTGCTCAACAATCCTACACTTTGGCAGATATCTAGTCTAGTATTGCAAAGATACCTCAAGAATCCAATGATTTGTTTGTAAAGGGTCGAACTTACAAACTCATCAATTGATTCCTTTTTCAGCTTTGCTCCAGTTTCTAATGGAGTAACAGATGCCTTATAGTTGCTCATATTGAACCTCTTCAGTATATCTTGATGCAAGAAAACTTCTTCTTCGATGTCTTTGAATTCCATTCCCATGAAATAGGAGAGATTCCCTAAATTAGACATTTCGAATTCCTGCATTAACTTCGACTTTACCTTCATTATCTCATATTCATTTGCTCCTGTAATGAGTAATTCATCAACATAGAGACATAAAATGATTCGATTGACACTTTCGACATCATTTACATATACCCCATGTTCAGAGACACACTTTTGTGAAACCTGCTTCGATTAGGAAGCTATCTATCCTTTTATTACAAGATCTAGGAGCTTGCTTCAGGCCATAGAGATCCTTCCTTAATATGTAAATTTTTGACTCCTTCCTTTTGACGTCGAAACCTAGTGGTTGAGTAACGTAGACTTCTTCTTCCAATGGACCATCCAAAAATGCTGACTTTACATCAAGTTGGTGCATTTTCCATCCTCTACACGTAGCTATCGAAACAACAATCCTGATTGTTTCGATCCTCACAACAGGCGCATATACTTCATCAAAGTCAATAACAGGTTTTTGTAGAAAACCTCTGGCCACCAGTCTTGCCTTATACTTTTCAATCTCACCATTTGTCCTTCGTTTCACCTTGTAGATCCATTTCATAGAAATTGGTTTCTTGTTGGTTCTTTTGACAATCTCCAAAGTCTTGTTCTTCTCAATGGCTCTAAGTTCTTCTTTCATAGCTTCACACCAATTCGAATTGCTCAAGGCTTCGCCCAAATCAATTGGTTCTTCTTCAGCCATCATCATGGCTTCTTCAATTAAGTCACCATATGCATTGATTGCTTGATCTGGAAACCTCTCATATCCAATTAGCCTAGTCGACTCAGTTTTTGTTCTTGTGGATCTTCTTTAATTATGCACAGGTGGTTCTTCATTTCGACTTGTTGAAGCTTCATTTTGTTCATCTTCTTCGAACACAGTTGTGATTGTGTCTGATTCTTGTCAAACTGAACTTCAACTCCAATCCCACCCTTTGCTTTCGTCTACAAGAACATCTCTGTTGATCACTAGTTTATCTTCGATTGGTGAATATAACTTGTATGCACCAGTCGAATGATAACCTATGAGCACCATGACTTCACTATGATCATCCAGCTTCTTTCTCAATTGTTCAGGTACATGCCTGAAACACATTGATCCAAAAACTCTAAGATGACTTACATTTTGCTTCAGCCCTGTCCAAGCCTCATGCGGTTCCTTTTCGACCATCTTCTTCATTGGGTATCTATTTAGAATGTATATTGCTGTCGAAGCTGCTTCAGCCTAAAATCTCTTAGGCATATTCTTAGCTTTTAACATACATCTCATCATTTTCAGTACACTTCTATTCTTTCTCTCAGCTATGCCATTATGTTGAGGTGTATAGGGTGCAATAACCTCATGCTCTATACCTTCGTCATTGCAAACTCTAGCAAATTCAGCAGAAGTATATTCACCACCACCATCAGTTCTTAACTTCTTCAATTTGCAGCCACTTTGTTTCTCAGCATGCAACTTGAACTTCTTGAACTGTGTGAATACCTCACTCTTCCTCTCAATAAGGTAAATCCACATATGTCCGATGAATTCATAAATGAAACTAAGTAAATACTTGTTACCTCCATTAGACTTTACTTCAAAGAGTCCACACACATCTGAATGAACCAGCTCCATTTTTTGCCTTAATCTTATAGGCAAATCACGTTTGAACGCCTTCCTTGCCTTTTTGGCTTTGCATCTTTCCTCACATATTTGCTTTGGTTCCTTCACATACGGAAACCCAAGCACCATTCTTTTCTTATTGAGCATACATAAACTCTTGAAGTTTAGATGTCCATACCTGTGATGCCATAGCCAGTTCTTGTCTTCTTCTGTAGTTGAAGTAAGACATCTGTGATCTGATGTGTTGAGTTCAACCTTGAATATTTTGTTCTCCGCCAATGGTGCTTTCATTATTAGCCTCCCATCATCCTTATATACCTTCATCTGATTATTCTCCAACTTTATATTGAAGCCTTTTGCAAGTGATTGACCTACACTTATCAAGTTACTTGTCATCGAAAGTACATATAGAACTTCAGTGATAGTAGCCTTTCGACCATCCTTTCTGATAATCTAAATATCTCTTTTACCACCTGATTTGATATGCCTGTCATCTGCAAACTTTATCACCTTTTCGACTGACTCATCTAACTTGGTAAACCAGTTTTTATTGTCATTCATGTGGTTGCTACATCTTTAATCCAGATACCACATGTTGTTTTTCTCAGTAGTCAACTGAGTGTTCACCAGTAACAACACATCATCAGAATCATTATCTCCAGCTTGTGCATATTGAGCTTCATCAATATCTTTCGACCTTGCAACTTTCTTTCTTCGACAGTCTCTAGCATATTGGCCAAAACCTTGACAATTATAACATTGCACCTCTTTCGTGTTAACTTTCTTCCCAAAATACTTATTGCTCACACCCTTCGAATCAGTATTCTTGCTTGACTTCTCATCACCAACAATATTCTTTCGCTACTTCGACTTCTCTTTCCAACTTTATTGCTGAATCTTGATTGCAATCCTTGTTCAGTTGCCTTCTCTCTTTCCGAGTTTCTCTGCCGCAACCTCATTTTGTGAGCCTCCAATGAAGCTTGAAGTTCTTCCAACTTCATCTCAGATAGATTCTTGGCCTCTTCAATTGTCACAACAAAGTAATCAAAATATGCAATTAAGGATCTCAATACCTTTTCTATCTTTTGCAGATCCGTAAGCGCTTCACCACATGCCTTCATCTGGTTTTTTATGGTTACAACTCTTGAGAAATATGCAAAAATAGATTCATCATCTTTCATTTGAAGCATCTCATACTGCTTCCTCAATGTCTGTAACTTCACCTTCTTCAGTTTCTCATTTCCATCATACAAAGATTTCAGCTTTTCCCAAGCTCCTTTTGTTGTTTCTTCTTGAATTATCTTTTCAGATATGTCACAATCCATACACTGGTGAATCAAGAATAGCACCTTGCCATCTTTCTTCCTCTGATCTTTGTGCGCATCTTTCTGGGCTTCTGTAGAATCTACTTCCAGTTCTGATATTCCATCATTCAAGATTTCTATGACATCTTGAAATCTGAAAATAACCTTCATTTGCGCAACCCACCGTTGATAGTTTTCACCTTTGAAAGCCGGTAGATTCACTGGAAACTGTGTTGATATTGTTGATCTCTTGCCATTAGATTCTCTCTGAATCGCAAACAAGCTCTTGATACCAATTTGTTGGAACAAAAGATTCAAGAAAGATGATTTTGTGAAAACAAGAAGAATAAGAAGAAGAAGAGAGAAGAGAGAGAAAATTATTATGAGTTATTTAAGTATAACTAACTCTCTAACTGAATGTATATTATTGTTCTGCATGATTATAATCATAATG